TTGTACTGGTTGACAAGCAGTAAGTGTTATGTTTCTTTCTGTAATTTTTTTTTTGCCTGCCTCCTGTTCCAAAAAATCTAAGATTTATATGTTGCGAGCTGTCTTACTCATCTGATGAAAACATAAAGAAATAGTCTGCAAGAACAACAGAACAGCAATTGTAGACGTTTCCACTGGTTTAAAAGTTAGGGCTGTGCTGAAACAGACAGGGACTTCAAAAGATGAAACAGTTGCTGTTATTTTGAGTAATTTTGATAGTTTTAAACTACAGGTGTTTGCATCAGCTTTTTAAAAATTTGGTAAAGACTTTAATCTGTATTTCTGATTACTTTAAGGAAAAACTCATTGCAGAACAATTACCCAGACAGTGCAAAAAAGAAATCATTTAAGTGTATTTTCTGGACAGTTTGGTGCTTTGCTCTAGGTTATTTAAACAGACTATATTGAAATCTTTTCATAACATTGTCTTGTATAATAGCCTTGGTACAACTATTTTCATGCTACTTAAATTCTTGAGCTGGTTATCTTCATCTTTTATCTTCATTGGAACAGATTAGTAAGACCAGTCTTGTACTTCTCTGTTCTAAATATTGATTGTTGTCACAGTCTTTTCTGAAATATGTTCCTACATGTTTTTCATTTCTCTATTGGATCTCACTGAAATGTGGCACATTTTTGTCTTTAGTTTTCAAGGTTTATTAGGTCCTATCTCTGCTTACTCTCCTTGAAATCTCTCCTTCAGGACTCGCATACTAAATGACATCTCACATGGAGTGTTGGTTTCCATTAACTCCTTATTGAATTGCCCAAGAAAGTGTTACCTATGAGGGTCTCACAAAGCTGCCAATTACTTTTTAGAATTTATTTTTATTCTCCTTTTCTTTGTTCCACAGTAAACAGCTCCTCCTGCCCTCCATGAAAAATAGTCCCTAAAACATGGAGGGGGATTGGAAATAAATCCTTATGTTCACTGCACTGAGACTTCTATCTACCACAATGATCAGAATGTCTTACCATTTCCTTATAATCTTCATGTTAGCGTCTCTGTGCTTTGCAGTTTTGGTTGTGGATGATTTGTATTTTGGTTTTGAGACTGTGTGGTCCTGACTTTCTTTCCAAGGCTTTTGAAGAAATCCTTTCCTACAAAATCATTAAGGCACTTTTTCCAAAGTCAATTTTTTGGGGAGAATGTGTGGTCTCATTTACATGGAGCAGAAGGGCTTCCCTGTGGTATGGAAGTACATTGTAGGCACGGAGAAATAGCTTATCAGGCATCCCTTAGCTCATGGCTGTAAATGTTCAGGAATTGTCAACCCATGGTTGGTGTCACCTGAAACAGACAAAAAAAAATTGACAAGCAGACAAGAGCTCCAAACAAATAAGAGTGAAGGAAGGTGTAGCATATGAAAAGAGCTTTCACATGATTCATGTTTTAAAGAAATAAGGTATGAGTTGTGGATCTGGTTACGAGGACAGGAGAAGCAACTGAATCCTGAGTGGTTTGTAGGATAGAGGCTGGTAATACCATGAGCATATATATAGGCAAGCTTTGTTGTTGCCTTTTATTAGTGCAAGACCTCTAAATTACTTTTTTGTTGCTGGCTGATTTAATAATATTAAATCAACCAGCAACAGTTTTATTGGCATTGTTGTCAGCTCAATGGAATAACTTTTTTTTTGTGACCAGTTTAAATATGAAGTACATCTAAGAGCAGAAAGAATCCTGAAGGCACAACTTAGTCTCATCAGAATTAAATTGTAAGTGAAAACATACAAGCTAACTTATTTCTGTTGTTTACTGTTATTTGTGCATTGCTGAGGTTGCTGAAATTTTCCCTCAACATTCATACAAGATAAATTTTGCCTAAATCTGTAGGAAGTAAAAAATTTTCTGAATATTTTTAATTTGAGAAAGAGGTCAAAACCAGACATGTCATCTTAACATCACTGAGACCTTCTGATGCTATTTACTAGTAATTCATTCAGATGATACCAGTTAAGTCAAGAATGCTGCTTGGTGGAGGAATACAGCTTAAAGCAGAGAATCAGTCGCATAAGAGGAAGGTTTCTTATGTGAAAAAACAGTAGACAGCTCTCCACTTACAGGGTTTTTTTTTGGGTGTTTTTTTTTTTTATTTCTCAAATGCTGCATAATTTAATATTTCAGACAGAAGACTCCAATAGAACAGTGAAACTATGGCATTGTGCACTACCAGTCTAAATAATACTCAAATCTTTCAGAAATCCTACTGTTTTTGCAAAAAGAGTATAATTTTATTTTGCTGTGTAACTGATTTTATAATCAGTTATAATTACATTCTCTTTCATTTGTTTTCATAGGTAGCTAGCTCCCCCTTTCTTTTCTCTGTCTAGTTTAGAACAGTCAGATTTTATCCTGTTACATTGATTATTTATTTAATATAGCTCCATCTGTCCCAGTTATCTGTGATTGTTTAAAAACATTATTAAATGAAGTTCCAGAACACTGTGAGGAGGAAAATATTTTATATTTAAATGTGGAGAAGCTCTGGGTTTTCAAATGTATGCCTTAGAGAAATAACTCCCAAGTCCTGTTGTAATGTGGTTTAAATGACGTTAACTTTTTCTCCAGGGCATTTTGATTATTAGTATTGGAAGAAAGGGTGAAAAGTGCAGTGATGGTTGGAGAATATTAAGGGACATCACTGCAAATCGATATTCACTTAAGTAATTTCCTCAGCATCCATGATTGAGAGATGCTGGAGACAATATAATGAACTGGATGCTTGGTTCAATCCAGTAGACCATTTACAACTAGACAGATAAGATTTTCCTCTGATTGGGGGGGAAAAAAGAGAGGAGATATATAAACATATTCATTATTCATTTTGTAAAGATTCCAAAGCATTTGTATTAAGTATTGCCGGTTTCTACATTATAGAAACTGGTAACTTCTATAGAAACTGGTAACTTCAAAATTAGAAAAAAGTTCTGTAATTTACCTCTTTTCAAATGTGGGAGATTTTGGTGGTTGGTTTGTTTTTGTTTTAATGTGGTATCTACTACTGTATGTCTAGTGTTATCTTTATTGAGACTCTAGTCTCTGCATGTGAGAGGTCATATACGCATACAAAATGTTATCTCTGTGTGACTCCAGCCATGACATGGTTAATATGCTGTTCAAAGAAATGTAGCATCAAGTAGAAATTCACTCCCTTAAAGAACATGCTGGGGGGATTAAGCTCATCTCTTAATGAAATAAAATGAATTTTTTAGGTTACCAGCAACAAAGTCTGAGGTCAGTCAATAAAATGCTCCTGCAGTTGTGATGGCAGTGAAGCACTGAATGCTTCTGCAGTAGTTAGAGTTAAATAAGGGTAGGCTGTATTGAAGAGAGAGTATTCTGGAGGTGTATGGAATAGAAGCAGACTGGAAAGGTAAACTCCTCTTTAACCTTTTGCTCTAAAAAAGACACCAACAAAATATTAAAATTAAAGTTGGCAAACTGACTTCATGGTACAACATACAATTAATTTTTAGAAGCGAATGTTCTGGAACTATCAAGGCCAAAAGTTTCAAAGAAACCTTCAAAGACCTGGTGGAGTATAGAAAAGGTTTCCTACTACAGGAGTCTTTTCCTTTGCTCTTGTGTATTGTGCTCAGATTTTTCTTGCTCATCTTTCCACCATTTCTCTTTGGTGGTGTGGTTCTTCTGACAGGTATGACAACGAAGAGAAATTCAGGAGGTTATGTACTGCAGTCTTCATATGTGGATTAACTCCCTTTCTCATGATGTGCAGTGGCAATGAGTAAAACATTAACTGGGTATCTTTGCCTAATGATCAGCCCTTGGCCATTGGCGTTCAGTATTTCTGGTTGACTTTAGCAGTTGGCATCCACTGACAAGAACAGACAGGTTTTTACAATACCTTCTTTGGTGTTATCTTAAAATCAAAAAGATCTCTGCAAACAATTATTCCTTCTATATTTGTATGCTGGTCTGTTCCATGACAGAAGAAGATGGGAGATGAGTGTTCTGGGCAGAGGTCCTATAGCCATATGTGTGATGCCACTGGAACCTCCTGGTAAATACCAATTAAACTGAAGGTTAGGTGCATGAAATACAAGGTGCTGTATATAAAGGGTAATAAGTATATATTATAATTATATATATATAATGGTAGTTTGGTTGTAAATGATAACATAAAAATGCCAGTTGCTAACAAGGTGATTCAGCACACTTAACATTTTTCATCCACATCCATGTGTGTTTCTTTAAAATACCATTTGTTAAAAATAATTCTGCAGATTATTTGCAGAGAAGATGGAGACAGAGGAATTAGAGGCCAAGGCAATGTTGGGGGAGAAGGAGATGAGAAAGGGGTGGGGGTAATGGGGTCAAACTCCCATTGCTTTAGCTACAGGTGTTGCACATGGGCAGGTCTGTACTGCTACTGAGTAACAGGAGCCTGCACAGAAATGTAGTCATCAGCATTTTAATGGGGTCATAGAAGAAATCAATAGAATTCCACGATTCATTATCAGAAACAATTCCATTCTAAAGAGAAAAGCACTTTATTTTTACAGGACACTGGTAAAACCTTATATTCTTTCTAGTTTGGGTTATTTGTTTTCAAATTAGGCACTGAACTTATGGGACTTAAGTCACTTTGAGGTGATGTTTCATTGATGAAGACCTCTTTATTAATTGAATGTGTATTTACTGTTTACCATAGTACCTCTTCACCTTCTTTGCTTCTCCACTGCTGAAACTATTTCCCAGTTTGGTGGAATTCCAATGTATTTGAATGTGGGTCAGTACAACCATTTAGTCAGTTGTTTTGCTGTTTATTTTGGTATTTTTAAAGTATGACAGTGTTCATTTTTATATTTTATAATATTTTTATATTTTTAGTGTAATAGTTTGAAGTATATCTAGATCGTTTTCTTGTAAATAACTTTTTCCTTAATAAAAATTTGAACTTTTTACAAAGTAACCATTCTTCCTTATGTTTGTGTAGGGGAAAATGCAGTGTTGCACTTCTGAATGAGACAGAATCTGTGCTGTCATACCTGGAGAAAGAGGTAATATAAGATTTCTATTTGGGTAAATATTGTAATGGGTTTGGTCTTTTACAGCTGTATTTTTAACAAATGGGCAATCAGTACTTTGAAAATCTTTTCTTGAAGGATAGGTTAGAAAAATTATGTTGTTGAAAACACTGATTTAAAAAAAATTATTGGATAAAATCTTAATTGACACTCTGAAAAGATGTGTTTGTATTTAGAAAATAATTAATTTGAAGTAATTTGTGTGGTATCTTACAGAAGAAAAATATACAGATGTTTTCCTGTAGCAGATACTTAAGGGAGAATGCACATGGCTTTTTTTTTTCTTTTTAATACTTGGAAAGTATTTCCTCAACTTTCATTTCCTGTGGAAAGTACTTAGGATGCCTAGCTTTACCAGAAGGGAAGAAAATACCTCAAGAATTTGAAAGATAATTGCAAAATATAGTGCAAAATGCCTTCAGAATAAACATATTTTTCTTTGGAGTGTCTTGATATAACATCAGGCAGACAGTGGTTTTAAACTGAAATTAGGATGTCTTTATTTTTCAATTTCTACACCAAAACCACTGATAATTGGTAAAAATGTTTCTGAAAACCGGACTTGCACTGTACTTTAGGTACTGTACCAGATTTGCCAATACCTATTTTTATGTCTGAGAAGGTTTACACAGTGTTTAATGGGTTTGGAGACTAATTTATCATGCAAAGTCAATATAGTAGAGATACTTATGAGTGGAAACATGTTAAATTCAGAAAGAAGTTAACATTTTTTTTCCATTGATATGTTTTTGTGTATGAATCTTTTCATTATTGCTCAGTTCTGAAATAAGTCCCAGCAAAGGCAGAAGCTTCAATTACCCTTTTAAAAGCACTCATGAAACATCTGTGTTATGTAAAAATGGGATTTATGTACCAAACCTGGGTTCTGTAAAGTGTGCAAATTTCCAAAAGGAAATATTAAAACCCCAGTTTTAAAGAGTATTATGCTGTTGCAAATGTATCTTCTTTTTTAGGATACTTTTTTTTATTCGCTGGTATATGATCCATCACTGAAAACACTTTTAGCAGACAAGGGAGAAATCAGAGTGGGGCCTAGATATCAAGCAGATGTGCCAGACATGCTTGCAGAAGGTAAATACAAGATCTTTGATTAGTGAAAAAAGTAAAAATCCTTGTCTTGCAATATTGCTCATGCTGACTCTTGAACTAAACTAGTACATAGAGGCACAGAAAGTAAAATGGTAGGTCTGAGAAAATTCATGAATATTGCTAGATACCAGAAAGAAAGAAAGAAGGAAAGGGTAATTGAGTAGCTGTTGAAAAGACAATGTCCATTTCCAGTTTGTGCATAATGCAGTTTAGGCATTTGATATTGTTTATTTAATTGCATGGTCTACTTAGTTCTTTAATATAGGCTGCACAGAGAGAAGATGTTGAGGACCAAACCATTTTATTTAATAATAACACAGTTGTGAAATAAGTGAAAAATAAATTTCTTCTCTTCCTTTTTAAACAGACTATGCATAGAGGATATTTCTTCATGTCTTCTTATTTTAAAATACTATCTTTAATCAAAGCATCTTGTCTGTTTTGTAGCATGTTTGAAACAAATGTTTCTAGCCTTGGCATAGCTTTAAAATCGCTGATGATTTTTAAATTTTATATTATTTATTTATAATCCAGCACTACTACCTGTGCCTTAGTATTTTGCTACATGGGAACTATTATTTTAAACAAAATTTCAAGTACAATATTTATTTAGTGTCTGGATGACATTAAAGAACCATGAGCACCTGTGTCTTATGTCTGCAGTTATATTTACTTAGTAAATTTTAAAATGAGTTGGTTTCATCAGTGTAATTCCCACTCTATATTGAGTGCTAACAAAAGAAAAAAGTTTCCTCAGAAGTATCCAGATGTAGATACTATTTTCAAGAATCTCGGTATTTATTCTTTAATGAGAAAAGATTATGTGAGAAGAGTATCACTTGCAATAAGTCCAAGGAGTTCTGAATACATATATTTGTAACCTTAAATGTGTTTTCCATTCATTGTGGGCTGCTTTTTTTGCTGTATACTTTTTTTATTAAAAACAAGGCATTATTTCCAATTTCTACAGAGCTTATTTAATAAACATATAAAACAAGATAATTTTTATAAAACAAGAAGAATTTGATTTCTGGCAAATGGCAGATTATTTTACAATGAATGGTCTCTAGTAGATCACCTGCATTATTATTTTGACTTTTAATAACCAGAAATAAACTATAAGAAGTCATTTCCAGATTTGTTTATAAGGTGTACAAACTTGTTTCAGAACAAGTTTATGAATAGAATATGATACACTGCTATTCTTGCAAATATTCTTGTAAAATGTACCTCTCATAAAGAAAAAAATATTTATGTAGACATTCATATACTCAAGAGGAAAGCTTGCCAGAGGACTAAAAGAAAAGGACTATCTCAATGTGTGTATCAAGTAACCAGGAAGTACTGATGTGATTCCGAAGTAATTGGTTGAACTGTAGGGTTTTCAGGATTAGCTGGGGTTGTCTGCCAGGAAGGAAGTCTTTTCCTACTGAGTTCTGCTTACTTAAATTACTAAAGAAACAGCCTAATTATGAAATAGTGAATATTACATATAAAGTAAATGTTTTTTCTGTTGAAATTTTAGTTATTTGATTTTTTTCCTAAAGTTAAATTTCATATTTATTAAAAGTGAATGACTAAGTTCTTTTGGAGCTTAACATTCTGTGTTAAATACTTAATTTAGTTAAATGAGTAGATCATCTCTCTTACATCATGAACACACGATTTCACTATGTTACTGTCTTCTTTTTCTCACACCCTGTTAATCCCCAAAATGCAATAAGTGATGCAGTTTTCTTGCTGTCTTTAGAAGGAAATAATAATCCATCAAAGTTTAAAAACACCAAGCCCACAAATCAAGGATCTGTTGGTACACAGAGCACTGGAGCGGTTTAGCTGGATTAATCTGCAGTTATTTCAAGTGGATGGTGGAAAAAAGGATTTGGTTTTAGGAGGATAAAAATGTCTGAATTCTGGTAGTTTTGACTGATTGTTATCTAAGTGTTTCCATAGCCCTCTGACCTCCAGGGAAAAACAAAAGATGATTCAGCTGTTGCTGTTTCTTTATGTAAGCTGATGACCTGGAAGCTAATCCATTCACTGTCGTCTTTTCATTCATGAAAACAAATCTAAATGATTTTTTAAACTAATAGAGTCAAATAATTATATTTAGATTTTATGGGATTTTGTGAAGATTTTGAATCTTTATGTAGATTTTTCAGCCTGTACTGTTAAAAGTGGATAATGAGCTGTATCTCCAAATTTTTATGCTATAATGTATGACTCTTTAAAATGAAAAGTTAGACCAATCACCTTATATCAAAAGAAAGAATTTAGACAACTTCAAGTCAATTAGGAAAAATCAGGTTTTATATCATCTAATGATAGTATAGTATAATAAAAGAGAAGACACTGCTAAACTTATTCACATATAAAATTTGTCCTCTAATGTAAAGGAAGAATAACTTTTTGAAGGTTATTGATAGGCATATTTTATGTTTACAGAAAATCCCCAAATCCATTTAAAAAAAATTAGAAAAACGGAAGATTCACACACCATCAGTTGTTATATTTTCAAAGTTACTGACATATAAATCCAATTCAAATGACTGAAGACATGCCAATTCTGCCAGTTCAGATTCCAGAAGACCAGTCACAACAGGGCTGAAAAATAAAAAAAGAGTCCTGGAACCGCTAAGTTATATTGATGTAAATACATTGATGTATTCTAATAGATTCAAAATTCAAATTGCTTGCACTTTTTCCATACCATGATAACTTATGTTCTGTATGAACGGACTACTGGTTTTTTGGTGATGGTGGGGTTTTCTTAGTGTTTACTGGAGAAATATATGCATTTTTTTTGTAGGAATAGATTTTTTTTTTTCCCATGCATTGATGTTATCATTTTTGTGTTATTGAGTAAAATGTTCTCCAAAACCGGGTGTTTAGGCTTTGGATAATGCAGCATACCTTTTTCCCCCTGCCCCATGGGTATATTGGATAACTTTATATTTATCTTTAATTTTTGAAATGAAAAGAACTTTCATTTACTTTCAAAAGACAAAAAGTTTTATTAAAATCAATATGCATAATAAGATATTCCAGATTCAACTGTTTTTCCACTTTAGAGATATATTGAATCATAAGTCCTTTACACAATTGCAGTAAACAAGTTGAGCAAAGTTAAAATTTGGTTCAAAATGCATATGCTTTGTATTTCTTTGCCCCTTTTGTTTGTAATGGTTTAGCTAAATCACCTAGATCACACATTTAGTGAAGACTGTAACTTTGGAGAGAGACTAGACCAGATTGCTTTGAGGAGTCTCTTACCACTTTTGTTATCAACATCCTTGGGAATAAAACGTGGGAGTAAAAGTTGTCAGATTTGAATGATGTTATGGTTGTGTGAAACCATTCCTTCCCTCCAGTGCCAAGTGTTCCAGTTTGTCGAGACTCTAGTTTGAAGATTGAGTTTTTAGTTTCTTTTAATACACTAGAGTACAGGAGACTGTGTTCTACAGCATTGACTTAGATTTTACCTAGTAGGATACTGAAGAAGGTCCTTTCTTTGTTTTAAAAACACTTTCTTCAGTGGCTTATTCTGTGGATGTATCAGTTTATTTTCAAATCTGTTACCCCACACTGGAGACATTCTCCTCATCTGTGCAAAGCAAGAATAAAAAGGTTTATCTCTGAGAACCAAAAACATGAATTTGGACAAAGAGTATCTTGTTTCAAGCATCTCTACAGTACAGGAGCAAGGTACCCAGTTCTCTGCATGTGATGGCCAGAAGCTGCTGTCTAGTGCATGCACCTACTGTATTTGAACAACAGTCTAAAATGTGTGACTAAGTTCAACAAACAAAACTGAAAACCCCAAATGAGCAAGAAAAAAAAACCTATAGAGTTTTGCTTTGGGCAAGTAATTCTTACCATTGTTATTTGGTTACAGGGCATACTTTTATAAATTGTTCTGAATATGATCAAATTCTTGTCACCTTTAACAGCTTTTATTTAATCCTCTTTTGTGTACAGGGAAATTCCACCAAGACAAATCAGTTTAGATACGTGGTAGACTTTTATGTAAGATTGATTTTTTTTTTTTTTCCTTGTCTCGCAACTTTAAAATCCAAATGTTTTTAAATTCTGGCATTTCAACCAGTATGGCTCAGCAGTGGAACTACTGATGCAGTGACAGGTTGTCTTACATGGTTCTCTAACAAGCAGAGAATGACAGAGAAAAGTACTGGCATAGCATTAGGGATGTCATTTAGCAAGTAGGATAATGCTTAAGAATGGGAGTAAGTGGGAATTTTTTGCTCTGCAGGATTTCGAATAATGCATAATTGTTTCTGTCATATGCCTGCACTGGTCTTTCTGCCTCCTGCATGCTATCGTAGGCCTAATTGTAGTTGTCACAAAATGTCAATGCGCTTACACAAAGTAAAATGCATGGCAGCTTAGCTAAACAAATACAGCCAAAGTAGTGTTGCAGACAGGGAAGCCAATTGCTTACAGTAATCTCAGTAATTTCTTAAGTAATGCTTACTTTCATTTATTCAGAGGGTTGTAGAGAGGCTGCAACAAAGGCAAAAAAGGCGAATAATTGTTTCTCTGTCAAAACTCTATTAAAACTTCTGCAGCAGAAGACATTTTCTAAATAAACCTAACAAAAAACTTTATGTTGCCTGCTTTGTTGTCATGATATGGAAGTCTAGTGAAACTATTTGCAGTAATACTCTGGCTAAAAATACCCCAACCAAACAAAAGAAGTACTAAATTGTATTTTCAAGAAAACTAATACAATTTATAGTAACTATTTTCTATTTTTTAAAATAAAAATATTAATTGTATTTCATCAGAATAAATTTTCTGATGTTACATTTGCTTTGTGAAGCAATAATGAATGAACCATTTGTGTTCCAGGATTTCGTAGAACAGTCCTGTTAGGCAATATAACATGGTTAAGTGTTGAAATCATCATTTTCAAGAAAACTTAGCCCACCACTATAGGAACAACCATGCTGAATCATACCAAC